TAACTGATTAAGTGCGATTTACACAATAAATGTATCTTCGCAGAGTAATACAATATTATCAGTAAACTCAAGATCAAAAAGCTTTTCTGAAAGTAACAGATCTACATTAACACCACTCACTTATACTAGTAGTGTTTACAGAACCTTATCGATTGAAGAAATGGTGAGATTAGACAACTCTGACTAACACACTGCTGGAATGAAACAGTGAGGAAAAGTGGTTGCATGCTCTTAACTCTGGCCTGAGTTATCTGCACAGACCTTTTAAGATATTATTAACCTTTCAGACATACCCTTCTTCGACACACAACTCTAAAACACAGTCCTATCCAATCAATCGAACGCAGCCTTGATATCAAGAAATCATGATTGTTGGCCTGCAGTAGATACAATAGCTCACCAGCATTTGGAAACGGTAGATGTAGTCAATATATGCACGACCTGATAGAAAACTACACTGCTCCTCATGAATCAGCCTTTCACTAATTTTGGACAGTCTGGGAAGTATGGCCGAGGTCAATGGTTTCAATGTATTCGGTAGTAGACTTGTCTTCCTATATTTATTTCACGGATAACGTATGCCATTTATAAAGACGACGGTCGCTTAATTCCAGGAAGTTGGAACACTCACAAACATTTTCAAACAACCTAGCCAGTCTCCAGAAGCTTTAAACCTTCCTTAAAAGAAGCCGGAGGGTAAGTCGCCTGGACCTAATAACTTTTGGAGCTTGAAAAGTTGAAGTTTCTTGCAAACCTCCCATTTGTTAGGTGGAATGGTCGTCAATATCAAGGATGGATATGACAGTTTGATCGATGTTCCTGTGGCAAAGTATTCCACAAAGAATTCTACCCATAGGGTTTACAGATTATTTTACTGACACCAGACTTCCTGTTGTCTGCGATTCAGGTGAGCTAGAACAGCTCCCAAAAGTTTCCGAATCCAAATACTGTTTCGAACATAATAGTGCAACTTCAAACATCAGGTTTTTCGATCCTTATGCAAACTATGCATAATTTCTCGAAGTAAGAATCCAAGTTTATTATCAAACTCGTGATTCAATGGAATAGATCAACTTTCCTCCAGTAGTTGTAAGGAACTTGTAAAAAGCTAGCGCTTATAAGTGGGACGTTTAGCGAAATTAGAAGCAACTTTACTAGCCATTTTCATGGCGTCATACAGACGCGGCTAATGTCCACAGTTTTTAGTGAATTGATAGCTGGCCTAGAACCTAATTTGGCTTGATACTTGATAACAACAGAAGCTACAGCCATTTCGCTTGTATCCGTTCAAGGCGATACTTTTGTTAGTCACCGAAACGCAAGATAAGTTTGGCGCAAACTAGAGCATGATCAAAGTTCACATAAGTACTCCAAAAGGAGTGCTGGTCGTGTACCTAACCACGACAGAGGCATTCGGTCGCGGTGCGATCAACAGTACATGCTTGGGTTAAAAAGAGAAGATACCAGGTAGCAGATCACACACGACCGTGTTGACAGTCCGTACTGGCCAGAAACAGGTTGTGGTCTGAGCGAAGCTGAGTTTCCATTGGTTCGGCAAGACTGCCTAGACGCCCAACCTGAGCACTTTATTATCCGGCTAGAATTAAAATGCTTCCGAACTCGTCCCAGTAAAATTGTCCAGTTGTTGGTAGGGTTCTTCTTTGATTGGATCCGGGCAGCAATCTGTTGGTGCATCGGCGGAGATTACAAAAAGACACCGTTTATCACGACAGTCTCACTTTTATGAACCTCTTGTTCTAATGTCATATAAACGACTGTTAATAGGAATTCAGTCTATCAGTTTCGCCTTTGCTTTAGAGCTTAGTGAGATACCAACAGCAGTCAAACTGGAAGCTGATGCCATTCAGCCTCCAGATAAGCACACGAATCGATAGATGGAGAATAAATGTATAGTGCTTTGTTGGTTTTGAATGTGGGCCTCAAATATCAGGGATACACAGATCTTACGACCTTCCAAAGACGTAACGAAACCCATTTTTTTCGGTTTGAGCACCCGGGCAATATCATAGCCCATACACAAATCAAGTGATTTGTGTGGCGCATATGTATTTGGTGCCCCTTTGTACTGATATTTGTGTTCAAACAAACAACAAACAACGAACTAATAAGTGATCTACGTGTTTCCCGCATGAGAACTTTTGATTTAGTGGTCACTAACACTAAGCACTAATGATAACTTAATCAGATATTATTGGAGAGAACCAGTAGGTTTTCATTTCTAAATCAATTAATTGAACTCCAATATCACACTACCTTTTGCTAAACTATATCTGCACTTGAACGGACGCAGGAAGCACACACAGAGTTGGTGTATGTTTCACTTAATGACAACATGAAGTTTATTTAAGAAAGGACCAGCTATTCAGTTGCCGGGGCATAAGAAGAATTATTGTCCAGATTAAGGTAGGCAAGATATCCAGAAAACTGTAAAGAAAGTAATTTACAATTGAAAACAAGTAAAAGCTAGTAGATCGCTGAAACTTCATTCAAACCAACTGGTGACTGAAGACTCATTTTCGTTGGCTTAAATACATACTGATCAAGCGACTATGCAATGTACTGACTGACTGACTGCAATGTACACGAGTAATTGTGAATATCAAAAAAAAATTGGAGAAGACATCACTGTTAGATAATGGCCCGACCGCAACTGCTACCTTGACGTGATGGTCGGGCTTGCCTACCGTAATGACTAGGACACTTGTTACTATTGGTCCTACCATGTTAGATAGATCGGTTGGAAAATGGTAAGATTAAGAGCAGACATTTAAGGTCAAAGGGTGAAGTTGTACTGTTGATTTTACATATATATGACGTCAGTAAGGCGCTTCCCTCAGACAACAGGCATCTGCAGTGATGCTGTCTTCTAACAAGGGAACGAAGGGGCTAAAAATGTCGAACCTAAACATTTCATACATCATCTTACCCTACAGCTTTCTGTGATTGGTAGTAAGGCTTTTTGAAGTACTTACATATTTTTCACCAAGTACCACTAATGATGATGATGATTCGAGTTCACAAAATATTATTCCTGGTCTCATGAAACCCCGTTCCAGACTAAATGTCGAGGCTTTCAATGTTCGAACCTTGTGTCGAATAGAACAACAGGTTTCCTTAGCTATGACTCTAGAACCTCGTTCTATCGATGCATTTTGTGTCTCCAAAATGCGCATACACGATCCAGATACGATCATTTACGTCAGGTCACTTGGTCAATATAAAAGACCGGTGCAATCTACCCTTCATGTATCTGAAGACTCTACTGCCACTTTCCGTAATCTTGCTGGTGTAGGTATAGGATTAAGTTCAAAATCATAACAGGCCCTCTTAGACTGGATTCCAGTAGACAGTCGCTTGTGAACTGCGAAACTTAACAGGGCACTAAAAACTAAGTAAGAAATATCGACACACGCTGTTGACTCTTTGTCGTTTCTGACTACGAGCCCACTTATAGCAATTAGAAGTAAAAGACAAATGTTATAGAAACCGTTTTACCCTCCTTTAAAACGCTAGACGTTCAGATGAAGCAATGGTGGCAGGTAGTTTTATTGCCCAAGTAGGTAGTATATTCCAACCTGACAGGCACTTAAGTAGGTCTTATAGTATCCAAGTTGAGTGAAAAGATAATGGCGGCCGGTCGCAGCAACTATGCTCGGAAAACTATTTTTAACAAGTACTAACTTTGAGCATCAAGGAAGATATCGTTTGACATAGCGACCACAATCGACCCAACACTAGACACAAGTAGACAGCATAGCCGTCAGTAATTGTTGGAGAGGCTCAACAGCAGACTCCCGTTCATTCTGGAGCACATGTTTAGATTCAGATCATGGTCTAGCAGGAACACGTATTTGTCTTTCTTACTAGGGGTAGGAAAGCTGCAATAGAAAGACCTATTGGAGTTTAACTTGAAGATAAAAAAATTCGGGAATACATTTCAGGAAGAATTATTGGGGCAATTAATCAACCACAAAAGTGATATTCATCCCAAGGTAATTTGGCATGACATCTAAACGGCTGTGGAAACAGTAGTGATATCTACCGATAATTTAAGCCAAAGAGTTAGGAAAAATCAGTAGATTCCAGCGTCATCTACAGAACTGATAGACTCTAGAGAACTCAGTCCGTCAGGCTCCGAACACAATGAGGAGCAGAGATAACTTAAAGGTAGATGGATAAAAAACCTACACAATGATCGTGAGCAGTGGTGAGTAACGAAAGCAAAAAAGAGATGGAATAGACGGTAGTATGTGACAGTAAACAACTAGCTGAATGGATAATTGACATAAGTCCCTCAAATCTTAGTGAGGTTGAGAGGGCTATAGATGATCCAAAGTGAGAGAGTAGCAGGTTCAGATGGATTAACTACAGAAACATTCAGGGATGGCGACTCAGTTTTAGTAGCTAGATTGACCAATATCTCAGCTAAAATTTGAAAACTGGAGTTATTCCAAACAACAGATTCTGATCACCATATTTCATAAGAAGAAAACAAACTTTCGTCACTTGTGATGTAGGCAAGATATCGGCCTACCAACCAAACCACGAGTAGTTTGCTTCGTATTCTAAGAAAATGACAGAAATCAAGGAAAACTGGAAGGCTGTTTAGAGAGAAAACAATACGAAAACAATAGATTTGACCCTGTTTCAACTCGTGTATACACGAGTTGAAACAGTTTGCTTTTCCAACTATAGTTGGAAAAGCAAACTGTCAAGAAAAATATTCAAGAATTATAGGTGAAATAAATAACCCCTTGAACATCAGTAGCCTGAAACCAAAAGTTCCTATGGTTCTCAGAAGTTTTCAACCAAGTAAATATCAAGAATAAATCCCATTGGCTTTTAAATCCCACTGGACAAAACAACCTGAGTCCAGGAATCTTTAGATGTAGATAGTCATTATACTAATTTAAACACCATGGACAACCATCACACATATATGGATGAAAATTAATAGGATTGATAAGGACATAACTAACCTAGTCCTAACAGCTGCTGGAGTTTTCAATACGTCGATGACGAGTCAGGTTGCCCCCCAAAGTGACCTTGACGTAAGTACCGCCTATCAGTAATCCAGCAGGAGTTTAGTAACTACCACTTCTGCAAGTCATAACTGATCCTGTTCCATCCAGCATTTCTCTTTACTGAATCCATAGTTATTTTGTAGTTGTCAGTTTCAGTTTCAGTTTCAGTTTGGGAAGGACAGGAGGCTCGATGGCCTATGTTAGTCCTGGCAATGGTGGTCTCTCAGTTCATCCAACTTTCTTTTGAAAGAGTCGACGGATGGAGCCTCAACCACGTGCTGAGGTACTGAATTACACTCGTTGATGATTCGATGGGAAAGTCGATAGTCAGCTGACAAGTAATTTGTTCTCGGCTTGTGAACTTTTTTGGGGTGTCCTCGTAAATTCTCTGTTTTGGAAGACAAGAAAAATGAGGGCATGTTAGGTGCAAATTTATCACTAAGCAATTTGTAGACTGTAATTAAGTCGCCTCTAGTTCTGCGATATGACAACGAGAAAAGGTTCAGCTTGGCCAGTCGAGCTTCATACGGAAGCTTCGCCATTCCGGGAATCAGCTTAGTTGCCGTTCTCTGAACCTTTTCCAGAAGGGGCTAGCCCCTTGTATGCAGTACTCAAGGTTAGAACGTACGAACACTATATACAAAGTCAAAAACGTCTTAGCGTTGACACGACTAAAAGCTCTACGTATTGACCATAACGTTCTAAAACCTTTGGCGGCTATTGCACGGCAGTGTGCAGTAATCTTTAAGTCTTGGCTAACGATGATTCCTAAGTCAGTATATGTCTGGACGACAAGTAGCTCAGTGTTATTCATCGTGTATGTATCTGTGCCTTGATGACCGATATGCATCACAACACACTTGGAAGTATTTATCGGCAACTGCCAGGTTTGAGACCATTCAGATAATTTCTTCAGTTCGTTTTGGAGTTCTAAGCTATCACCCTCACATCGTATTGTTCTCCATATCTTGACATCGTCAGCATATAGCAAAACCGATGATGATAGGAGACGAGGAAGGTCATTTACATACAAGAGGAATAGTACTGGCCCCAACACTGTACCCTGGGGCACTCCACTAAGCACAGTTCCCCAGCTAGATAACTTTGAGTCCACCCGTACTCTTTGTTGACGCCCAACTAAGAAGTCTTTCATCCACATAAATAGATTGTCTCCAATCCCGACATTTCTTAACTTATATAACAGCCGGTTGTGCGGAACTTTGTCAAAAGCTTTACTGAAATCAATGAAGGCGACGTCTACAGGTAGCTTTTGGTCCTTAAGAGCGCACCAGCTTTCACGAGCCACTAATAAGTTAGAGAGACAAGAATAACATATTCTGAAGCCGTGCTGCTTCTCCGAGAGGATCCAGTTTTTATCGAGATACTTAAACAGCTCCTTCCGAATAATCTTTTCTAATATTTTAACAACCACACTAGTTAGGCTAACGGGGCGGTAGTTCTCAGGTTTGTGTTTCGTGCCTGTTTTGAAGACAGGACTTACTATGGCATTTTTCCAATCTTTCGGTAAGCGACCCTGCGTAACGTAAAGGTTAAAGCATGTACTTAAAGGGCTTGCAAGGAAGTTAGATAATTCCTTCAGTAGCCTAGGATGTAATTCATCGGGCCCCATGGATTTACCTATGTCAAGCTTATTTAGCAGACCAAAGACATCGAGTTCTTTAATGGTCACGCTATCCAGTGTATGTATGGGGGGATCTGTATACGCTGACGAGAAGGGCGCTTCTATGGTATACACGTTGCTAAAGTTGTTCGAGAACGCCTGAGCCTTACCAAAGTCGTCCTCCACTAATGATGAAGCAGTACTGTCTCCCCATAGAGCAGGAATATTTCCTTTTCTCCTTGTCCTTTGGTTTATATAAGAATACAAGCGTTTAGGACATTCTATGGATTCCTTAACAAGTTTTTCTTCGTACAATTTCCTAGACTTACGGAGGGTCGAGGCACAAGTGTTCCGAGCCTTTCGATACTGAGATTTTGACTCATCAGTCCCCAGTAACCTAAATCTATCCCACATTTTCCTTTTCTTACGGAGAAGGATACGGACCTCCCTACTGAACCATGGTGGTGAGTTTTTCGGCCCCTTTGGTATAGTCCAAGGGATGTGAGGTGTGGTAACTTTTAAGTATGAATTTCGAAATGTGTCCCATGCCGTTTCAATGGAGGACTCTGGGTCTATTGTCCAATCTATTAACGATGCTGAGTGCATGATGTCTGGTATGTTTGCTTTCCAGATGTTGGGTCTGGACTGGATTGACGCGTGCTCGTGACTGGCAGTTATATGGAAGTCGAAAGTTGAAACTGCGTGGTCACTTTTACCTAAGGGTGGCATATGATGGAGGTTCGCAACATCATCCTCATAGTGAGTCAGTATAAGATCTAATAAGGATGATTCAGTGTCCGGATCGTACCTTGTCGCTTCTTTCACATGTTGCACTACAGCACATGTGATAACCCCATCAACTAGTTCCTGCTCGAAAGAATTCTCCGACGATTTAGTTCGCAGAGTTTCCCAGTCTACCATAGGTGCATTAAAGTCCCCTAAGATTAGATATCGACCACTTTGGGACCAAGCATTGAGACTGCTTAACAGGATCTCATTTGCCTCACAGCTTGGACTGCGATAGACCAAACCAATCAGCAGCTCTTGTCCCTTGCATTTTAAGCGAAGACTAACTAATTCACACGTCCCACTCTCATGGGATACACTATCGATAATGGTAAATGGGATAGCATTCCTAATGAATAGAGCTACTCCCCCTCCTTTGCGCTTTTGTGTTCTGTCGGCCCTTACTAACGTAAAGCCCTCGAAATCAAGTTCTATACTATCTATAGCCTGTGTCAGCCAGGTTTCTGTTACTGCGATTATGTCTGGCTTTGTAGAGTCAATCTGTACACCTAGTTCCGATCTCTTAAGTAAGCTTCGTGCATTGGTGTAACAGATCCGAAGCCTCTTTAAGTGCCTTCGTGCTTCACCCAGAGTGGCTTCGGCATCATTCTCTGTCGAAGTCTTACAACCCGAAAATTTACAATTTTCAGGTCCTTTTCGCCAGCGTCTAACCTATGTTGTCGATGTTAAAGATGCCACAAGTATTCGGAGTTTGACAACAGTTTAACCAGTAACACCTTTTGTAATTGAAATATACCAAACTAATCAAATCAGAAGTCGAAAACGGAGGGGTTAGAATGCATATCTGATACGTCATCGGTATATTGGGAAGTGATCATTCTAAGCCGTCTAGCGGTCGTAGGAGTTGTGAAGCATGTTGTACCCAGTCGAGATCTGGGATCTGCGGATGCGTAACCGAGCGTCTTCAGTTAGATGTGTCCACTAAAACCAATAAGGCCATCACCAAATGTTAAAGACTTACCGAACTATTTGTTTTGGGATTTATTTACCTCTAGAGCTCACTCCCCCTTAGTAGGGTAGTGATGATCCTAAGACGTGGCCAGTCAGAAATATAAGTCAAACGAGTTTTTTTTGGTAAACACTAATACAGTCAGTGAAATGTCACTGAGCCCTAGGCAAACCGTCCAACAGTTGGGTCACTGAATATCAGACAGATCATCGATCCTTGTCTATGTCAAGGACAACTAACGCGCATCAATTAATCGTATGCCATGGGCTGGCCCATGAGGTGGTGGCCTCGCTATCCTCACCGTACGCATTCCTACTAGTTTATTGCCATAGCAACGCCCTTTGTGTTATACGGTCTTCAGAGCAACTATAGCACTGTCATACGTCCAAGGGGTAATCCACGTTAGATGCTGACCGCGAAGTGTGACTTCGAAGTTAGCTGGCTCGTCACACCATACCCGTCTAACTCTAGGAGGCCTCCAACCATTCGACACAGGTCATCTACGTTCTTGATATATACACTCTTCTGATAATTTGCTATGTTCAGCAGAATCTGGTCATCTTTCCCCCTATGAGGCTACTCCCCGTCACTAACTAGGATATATATATATGAGCATATATGAGGATATTAGAATGTAATTTCTCTGTTTTTTAACACAAGGATACAAAAGAGATAATGTCGTGAAAAACTGCTATGTTGTCTCTCAAATTCAATGGTCATTAAGGTGTTCCGAAACCTTACCCTTCTTCCAGAACACGTTGTTTCAGGCCAGTTGTCAGATATCACTAAACCGCCGTTGTGACTGTTGAATATCAGATGGGATATCATAATTGTCAGGCCCGGGTCACTCGTGTGTACCAGGGGAAAATCGACATGAATAAGGTTCCCTCTAAATAGGCGGCTCTAAGACGATCATTTCTGATGTTGTCGTCAGTTCTGTTTCTGTCACTGATATAGCGCTTAGGTTTACGATGAAGAACTATGAAGGTTCGTTTCTATACTGCGTCAACAGGTCATCGAAATGAGTCGCGAAGTACAAAACCATGTCTACGGAGTCATAAGGTAGACCAAACGAGAACACTAGTTGACTGAGATTGGGTGGAAACAGGTATAACTGAACTCATGGCGTTTGTAAGCCTGCTCGTTTAGGAGTTTAGATCCATTAACAATGAAGAAGATGAGGGAGCCAAAATTTACCCTGGAATTCTGAGTATTGTTCTATAAACGGGTTGCACTGCAAAGTGTCACATGTCAGTTTACACTGCATTGTGAATACTGAGTACAACGAATGGAAGAGAGTCGGTCGACTGTGATGCATTTGCAGCCGATAGTGAAGCTTCGATCAGTTGGTGAAATCGTCCTACCAACCCGTTTGATTGTGGATGGTAGGTGGCCGTTCGGAATCGTATATCAAGACAATGGAAACGTTTGGATTCGAACAAGCGTCCACGGTCTTTTGTGATGGTTGAAGGGCAGCCAAAGCTTTCCACACATCGTTCAACGACAGCGCAGTGGGGATGTCCTCGATGGATGTCGCTTCTTGTCATTATGTGAAAAGTTCAACACACGTTAAGAGGCAAGAGTATCCATTTGAATCTAGTAAAGAGTCTTGCCGAATCCAGTTGAATATGGTTAAAGCGAGAGTTAAGAGTTGTGAAA